AAGTATGTGCTATTATTTGGGACTTAGACAGGAAATGAAGAAATTTCTTTAAGACTTTCCTAGGAGGGGAAATAGGCAGATTATGGGATTTGGGGTGGGACATTGAGGAAACAGGTACTGAGTGAGAAAAAAATGTGACTGATAAAGGAAACGCTGCAACAGTGAACCTGGGAAAGAGACAGAAATAAATGAGAGCTCCACGGAAAGAGAACAGGAGTGAAAGGATAGATAAAGGGCAAAGTGGAAAAACAAATGCGACTGGGAGATGAGACTGGGTCCATTATGAAGACTGGGAAGGAAAAAAGTATCATAACTGGGTAACAAACAGTTTGGAGACAATGACTTTGAAGCAAGAAATCTAGGGCTTGCACCAGAAACCAAAGAAGCAGACTAAGTGAGTGCAAGCTTTTGTTCGCAATGTAAATTATGTTGGTTTCATATATGAAGAAGTGTTTCACTTGCAGTTTCAGAATTAGCACAATGACATTCTTACTGGCTGTTCTGTGAAAGGTGAGAGTTTTTCCAAGCACTAGCATGCTGCCTAGAGATGTAGCTCTCTGCCTTAGATGAAGAGATCACTTGCGTTCCCAACAATGGGTAGCTCTCCATGGTCCTTCACACTTTACAGCTGCACCATTTCATGCATACAAGTTCATGCAGCTTTACTAATCAGCACTGGCAATCTGGGCATCTGGTTCAATTTCTAGCATATAAATAGATTACAATCTTAAATCATGTTTCAATTACTTCCGTTAAACTATTATAACAAATGAAGAAAAACAAGTCCCAGATTAAGATTTTCTTCAGTGTTTGATCTCTCATACTTCATGAGAAACAAATCAAGCCTTTAATTCTCAGAAAACTATTTACATGCCAACTGTTCAATAAACACCTAAACTGGTAGTTTGAATTTGAGATTATAAATAACTAGAGCTCCAAGCTTCCCACAGCCTAAAATCATGCCTATCTGTGAGGACTTGGGCAGCTACAGAATTAGGCAGCAAATGAAGTTTTAAAGTTGTCACCCATATCTCAGTAATTGAGGATCTGGGCCAGAGTCATCTGAAGCCTCAACATACCAAGTATCTCTACGGGATGAGAAGAAAAAAAAAAAAAAAAATCAATAGAAGTCAAATATTTTACATTTATACCAAAGAAAGTGGAGAAAATACCATGTTCACAGATCTGAGTCAGACTCAGATCATGCTAATATCAATTTCATGTCAAGCATTCCATATTCCACACAAGACAGTTGTGTATATCCTTCGCTAAACAGTATGTTACGCTTTCTTTTGTAAAGAAGACAACCTAAGGTAGCAAGCAAATACACAGCATCAGCTGTGTTCCTATAGACAGTGTTGGCAACAGTATTTTCCTTACAGATCAAACTAGAAGAGCAGAAGACATAAGACTACTTTAAAGATAACTTTAATTCATTATTAATCAAAAGAAAATTCATAGATTTCTAGTCTTGACAAATAACTCTATAGTTTTCTCCATTTTTTACATTAGCTACCAGAAAGTTATCAAATTATTGTAAGGTACAGCCACAACTAGTCATCGTGGTATATAGGTGGCCTCCTGGCTCTCACTCCTCTCCATGAGGACACTACTCCAAGCATATAGGTCTAAAGTGTTTTATAGTTCTTGAGAAGAAAAACTGACTGAACTCCCTTGGTTCAGCTTCTGGACAGTTGTTGGTTAAAAAAAAGTTTCCTTCAGTTGGTAGTCAACTTACTAAAAACAATGTCAAGATTTCATGTTACTTGCAATTTGTCAAATAGACTTTTGTGAGCATACATTTCGTGAAATTTTTGAAGTTATATAAAAGCTCACTTTTTTCCCCCCGTGCATCAGAATTATTTAAGATCATCTGTCCTTGTAACCAGTATACCTTTCTTCTTTCAGGCAAATAAATTTTCACACAAAACAAGCCAGAATACTCACATAGCCACCCTAAAGTTTAGACACAGTCTTCACAAGCTGCATCTGTGAAAATCTGATTCTCCCTCTCTCCCCCCAAACTGAGCTGAAGCAGCACCCCTTGTTGCTCATTAGAAAAATGTATTAAAACATATTAAAGCTAACAACAAGTAGCCAGAGTTTTGCATCCCTTAAAGTAACATTTGTTCAACCACCTTCTAGGGCAAATAGGTCATTTATTGGCTTTATGCCTTTTAGAGATGCAGCTTGGTATTCATTTCCACAGAGAGGTTGACAACTTGAATATACAGAAGACTACAGATTCCCAGCACTTGTCTCTTTCCAAACAGCAACTAAAGTATGCACACGGGTAAAATAAAGTAAAACTGCACTAAAAAGTAGTTATGAATATAAGATATTGTTAAAGGATGCCAAGGAAATTTCTTTTTGAGACTGTGCAGGAAGTGAATATGAGAGACAAGTTATGAGAGACAAGTATATTGAACTGAAATGTTATTCCCGTTTTCACTAGAAAGACACACATTCATGAGAAATCAAAGTCAAAATGGTTATAGTATTCCACCAGTACTATTTAGACGTGAGCCTAAGAATGTTTATATTTTGCAAGTTTTCACTACAAAGATAACACATTTAGGCTTTTCTATAGGTTTGCAATTTTGGATCTCCTGCACACATTAACAGTTAACTAATTTACAGCACTTGTTGACACCTTCCAAAGAAGCTCTTGGCTAGGTAATATACAAGCTTCAACTAAATTAACATTACAAGAACTTTCTGTTCTCAAAGTCAGTCCTTGGAAAGATTGGTATTCCCAACAACTGTAGTTTAGTTACGTAAAATTGCTCATTTAAGTGATAAGATCCCAAAGAATTATGTCTAAAAAAAGAAATCAAGCCAAAAAAAGAGCAGCAGCTATGCACAATATACATGTAATAACTTCCTGTAATGTTTTGGCAGACCAGTTTATCTGTTTCAAATTCAAAGTGCTTTATTAATGCACAAGCATTAACTTACTTCAGACACAATCCTCTAGGATCTCATCACTTAAATCAGCAGCCTTATGTGACTAAGCACCAGAAATGTTAGAAAAAAAGAGTACTTGCACAAATGTTAAATATCAATGAGGCTACAGTTGTTATGAAAAAACATAGAAAAGACTTCAGATGGATTTAGAATAGCCACTGTACTTGTTTCCAGTAATACTGAATATCAAAGATGACAACATGAACTGTAGTAACGAGTTTGCATTTTTACACTGCCTTTCAGGCATGGTCATATATTATTTTTCCTGTCAGCAGTAGTTGAAGATGTTACCAGTTGTACTCTCCCTTTTAATCTTCTCCCACCCTCATCATCATGACTCACTGTTCTCTCCCACAGTCTTACCACAGACCATTTTGTTTCTACCCAATACTAAAAATATATTTTAAAGGGCCAAGGACCTAATAGTTTCACAGATACAGTTTAGAGAGCAGCCAGAGAATCATCTGAAAAGGCACAACTATGGGAAAGATAACTTCTGGCAATAAAGCAGAAGCGAAAATACTGTAACATGCAAGCACAGTCTGAACCTGTTGTTAACAGAAGAATCAGATGTAACTACAGCCTTAACCTTTAAAAAGCTTTGCGCACCTTGAAGTCTACTAAAAGATCATATAAGCTTTATTTAAAGTTTAATTTCTAAGTACAGCTCTCCCCCCTACAGCAACATTTAACAGCATCCAGTTTAATTGTAAGTGTCACTTTTTTTTTTTTTTTTTACAGCTACTTAAACAGCCTCTATGATTTGAGAGTCGCACGGTAAGTAGTCAAGATAGGTTTGAGCTTATTCAACTTGACTGTCAGAAGTGGCAACTTTTGTGTTTTGGAGACAAATATTTGGCACCTCTTCTGCATGGATATAGCAGTCCTGAAAAGCAGCAAGACCAGAAATAGCTCTTTAAAGGTCCATTCCTACTGAGGCAGGACAGAAATAAGCAGAACAAGACTGGGCTGACAGCACTGTTCCTAGTCTACTTGCTTATGTTCTTCAGAGTGCACTATGAGTAACTTGACCTAGACTTCATCAGCCTAAAGATAACGGGCATGCCTTTAAAATACGTACCCTTAACTTGTACATATTTGATTGGTTATGCAACCCTTGAACTCCAACCTCAGCTATTCATGGGGATGCCTCATGCAGAACGTATTCACGTTCATTTCAACGACTGTTCTCTTGTGAACAGAAAATAAATGACTATATTATTGAGGTACACAATAAATAACGTACAGAAAGAGAAGAGGATGCTTCTGAGAGTTTCTTTAAATCGAAGTATTTCAAGTGTTCCTGAACAGGGTTGTCCTGTGGTAAAAACAGGAAGTAGGGAACACATTGATGTAACAACACAAAACTAGTAAAGGTAACTGCAACCTTACCTTCTTAAAGGAGGGAAAATAGAAAGAAAAGAAAAAAAAAAAACACCAGAAAACTGCATACCTAACAACCTTCTTTCTACTCAATTTATCAACAAAGCAACTGGATACATGGATACATCCAAAGGGGGGGGGAAGTGTCGTAATTTGGTTTGGTGTTTTTGTTTGCAAGCCTAGATTCAAATAAGAAGTGCTACAACACAAGTATAATCTCTGCTTCAAATAAATAACAAAGCATGTGCAACAATTTCATAAGAGTACATAATAAAATCCACCAAACTGCCTGAGACTTGATGCAAGGCACTAGTTTAGCTTCTGCTGAACAGGAATTCTGCTGTTGCTCCATTCTTTACATAGAAAGGCAAAACATCAGTAAGATACTCTTTAAATGACTGAAAATACATTTAACAGAAAACTCCTAATAAAAACAGCAAACTCCTGTAAAAACAGTAGCGCTGTAAAACAAACTACTTCTATACAGGATCATCAGAAAAGAAATATGAGAAAAAAACTATTAAATCAATCACTGATTACAAGTCACAAACACACTTTTTAGTATGCCCAGTTCCTCCTCCCCATCCCATGTGGTTCAAAAGAACCCAGAGGCTCAGAGAAAAAGCAATGAAGTGTTACACACTACAAAATACAGTAACACAATATTTTCTTTATTTCAGGACTGTACAAAGTATAAATGTAAAGATATATTACACCAAGATAAACCTTTAAAAAAAAGTATTTGAGTATTTAAACAACAATACTGCCATCAGAAAAATGCCTTTATTATCTCCAGTTATGAAGTTTTACCTTATGGAGCGATACATCATGAAATCAATTGTTGTACATCTAGGGAATTTACCAATAGAGCTCTCTTCCACTGGGGTATACACTTTGATTTGTCTCATGTGAGTGTCTCTTCCATTTTGGTGATTAGCTAGAACAGCAATCTGAATCATAAATGTGCGAATAGGCTTCTTATGGGTATCTGTTAAAGGAACATGAATCCAGCCGCTTGGTTCCACTAATTCAAGTTGCTGTCGAAAACAAGACAAAAAGCAAAGTATTCAGGAACAGTTAATATACTTAATGTAAATGATCACATGATATTTAATGATATTAAACCTAATACAGAAGAGTCTTGCTGGTCAGATTTTAGTTACTTTTTAAAATCAGTTTGAAGTAATAGAGTTGAAAACTCACAGCTAATTTACTGCTGCTGTAATTGAATACAAATTAATTTGACTACAGTTGTGTCTGCTTTTACCTCTCAGAATCTGCCCTTCATTTTGCACCTTAGGCTTAAAATAAAAAATGAATATAAAAATAGACTTGAATATAAATCAAGTCAAAACAGTACTATTTGTATCTTGTTTCGAAAGGACACTACTCAAAAATGATAGAAAAGGTGCATCTTTAAATTCTTTGAACCCTTATCTACACACCCTGAACTAAAGTATGCTAGAATGACTTAGATATGAAATTAAATCCACATGAGCAGGTTTTCAGAATTCCTTCAGTTATTAGAGGAACTGAAAAGGAGTAAGGGGAAGGTGACAGAGGAAAAAATACAGGATAACTCATGGACTTCATATCACCGTGTAGTTATACGTGTGTCAAGACAAATGCCTAACCAATTAATAACTGCTGCACAGCCATTTAATCACATTTTGAGACCCATTTTGACTTGGCTTTCACACAACAAGCCAAGTGTAAAATGATTTTTATTTTATTTCATTTTTTACTTCTGATCCTACAGAAACCAATGTCAAAGCAAACAAAGAAATGCATTTTGTTAACTCTAAACCACATTACTGACACATCAGCATACTGAAATCCAGCTAGATGTTATGCAGAAGTGTGGTGACAGCTTTTGTTTAAAGCTAGTTGCCCAACTTCAAAGCACAGCTCAAAACACATATAGAAGAGCACACAAGTCAGAAGCAGTCTTCGGGAGGCTGGGGGGGAGGAAAACAGTTCTCCATAAGCAAATGAATTTCACAAAGCTAAGCAAATAGACTGCTCTTCTTAGCAGATGAGTTCTTCTGCAAAAGAAGTATGCTTTGAGCAGCTCAATATTCCCGTTTTTCTCCTGAACACGCTGCAAGACAAACATCCCATCAAATGCTTAAAAAGCCTTAAGATTTTAAAAAGACCCACACAAGATCGACTGATCCAGAGGTGTTACCAAGCACTGTAAGGGAATGACTCTAGAAATAAGGGAAGTCAAAAGTACACTTGATGACTGCTTTAAGGTTAAAGAGACAGGAAAAGAAAAAAAAACAACTCACACACCTCTACTTTAAGAAGAGATTCCACTGCTGCAGGCACTCCAACAAGTTGCTTTCAAATTATCAGATTTTTTTTTTCATAGGAAGCTTCAGGTAACAGTTAGCTTTAAAAGGAATAAAAATGACCTACTGTTGAAGCAGCTTTATATAGGGAAAATTCATCGTTGTGAGGTAGTAGTGAACTGTTTAGCACAAGCATGCTTTGTATCTCCACAGTAAACAGAAAGAATGAGAATCCCAGCAATATGCTAAGCAGATAATGCTAAGTTAAAGTGCCTCTGATTTGGAATAGAATTAAGAGATTATAGCTAACTGAATTTGCATTTTAATATTATTTTCAAAGTTTACAAATTTTGACTGATGATTCAAAGTGAAAATTTAAGTTCCAGAGCTAAAAAAAATTTTTTTTTTTTTTTTTTTTAATGCTTGGATCAGTATGAAATCGATTAGTTAATGCACTTGCTTTAGGTTGATGCTATTGGTTTCAGGCATATCTAAAATAATCCAGGTGTATTTATTTTATTGGCAAAGAAATCACAAAAAGTAAAATGACTCCAGCTCCAGAATCAAAAGAGGTACCAAAGGATTGGCAAAATTGGACTACGTTTTCAAAAGGAAGTTAGATGCTTATGACTTTTACACACAAAATCACAACCAAAGAAAACTAAGGTCATAAAGATGAGTACTTCAATGTTGAGAGTTGCAAATGCAACTCTACTCAGTTTTCCCCATGTCATAGGACATCATTTTAAATTAAATATTTATCAATACTTTGTTTCATCCCTTATCAATGGAAGCTAGTCACATGCTTTATCTGTAGCATGTTATTTTTCAATCCTGTTATTTATGCAATGAATTTCTTCCCTAGCCTTTCAAGGGTGGTTGGACTAGTAGCCTCTACATCTGTAAAGCAGTCAACTGAGACATTAAATTACTTAGATTATAATATCCCTTAGTTTCAGATGTCAGATTTGGCACACTTTGGAGCTGATTTTTCCTGACCTTAGTAACATACAGTACTTTACATGAAGTTTAGCTCCCACAGACTCCACTTGCAGCTCTAAGTGTTCACATTTCTGCAAGTTAATAACATTCTCAAATCAGCCACTGGAACACACGATATACGAGTAGCCACCTAGGAACACGGTTATTTGAGTGTACGGTGTAAAAGAGACCATGACTAAGCACAGATTGCACACAATTCTGTGAGCAGTACTCCAAAGAAGTCTTTGTGGCTGAGAATTATTTTATTCCATAACTCTCCTCTGCTTCACTTACTCCACACGTTGCAACTTGTGTAACAGTTGAATACACAAGCCTTTATTGCCGAAATCCTGGATTCATACTCAAAATAGACCCCACTCTAATCCAGTAATTGTCTCTTGGAAGAGGGATATATGAGACTCTTGAATGAGATTGTAGGGCACACTACAATAGAGCAAGTGGTCTGGACTTAGATGTAGACATTTGGGAAAAAAAGTGAGCTTTTGATTTCATAATCTAACATTCCCGTACTATAACTTTTTTGTTGTTTCTCATTTACTTGTTTGTAATTGATGCCTCCATAGCTCAGCAACTAGTACTCATAGTTCATTCAACTATTGAAGTTTAACTACAATAACTATTATCTGAACATCCATCAGAAAATGAAGTAATATTTTGCCAGTGATGCACACATTTTTTGTAACCAGAAGAATGCTACAAACGAGACATGCAAGCACTCTGTTCTCCTCCATATCTGTCATACTCTTTCAGACAAGTGAGATGATTTTTTTTTTTTCCCCAGAGGGCCCAGGTCCATGGTTTTAAAGAGGGAATAGGACATGGGAATAGGCGGTAGTAGTATAAGACAAAATGCTGCCCACTCTTAGTTCAATGTCAGCACCCAGATCCAGCCACTACAATTTGTAGCAGAAATGGGATGAAATACACAGCTCAGTTCTGCCTGGAGCATTCCCAGTGTGAACAGAATCTAAAGGAAACTTACTGTGAAGTTTTAAGAAATTCCTATTAAGCCCATGCAAATGGCAATCTTTCAAAGCCTTGTAAACTGGTCTGGAAATTTGGGTGGATTTTTACAGGGAGGCAAAAGGCACATCCTCGACACAAAGGCTGAACTCTTGCCAAATTTCAAATCCTTGCTTCAGAGCTTGGGGGCACTGGAGCATCAAAGAAGGACACCAGAATATTCTCACACAAGCAAAATAACATACTTTTCACTAGCCTTATTCTTGGAACAGAACTCCTTTGGCTGTAACTTTCAAAAAAATTCAACCCAAAGCAGACATCTGGCATGGAAAAATCACAGTCTGAACTGAACTTTGGCAAAGTTTTAAAGTAACTAAGAGTTAAGTCTTAAAATAGGAAGGGTCACACAACCTTAAGTACAGGTCGCCATTAGCAATTCTACCTACAGTAAATACTATGCTTTAAAGCCATTTCAGCTGACTTTGCTGCAAACCCTACTCTTTAAAAACACTAAACACTGTGTATAGATGTTCCATGCTAACTCTAAAGAAAATGTGACATTTCCTCAAAATGGATTTAATTTTTTTCCTGTATTTTTTCCTCCTATGTAGGTCATTTATTAAGAATCAGTCACCATTAACTGGTCCTCCAGGAAAGTTTTAAATATCAATTATGTTACTAATTACCTAAAGAAAGAAACTTCCAGTTTTTAATTTCGCTTGTTTTATCAAAAAAAGATCAAATAATTAAACAAAGTAAAGAATCAATGAGAGTTAAATATTAGTAGCTCTGGACAAGCTAATCCTATATACGATGTGCTAAATTTTGCTGTTTTAAATTAATTTCTAATGTGATAAATTTTGTGACCACTGGTAAACAAGCAGAGTGTGAAAGGCAAAATAGAGGAATAAACAAAGGGATAAAAATTGAAATGGAAAGTCACTCACCTTTCCTTTGCTGCTGTTATACACTCTTATCTATCTCTTCTCCTGCTTTCTCTCCATTCCTTTCTTATTTTCCTGTCCTTTGTGTGCTATGGCTTTACGTATGGATTACTCAAGTAAGAGTTTAAATGTTATTTTGAAAGCCAAAGTAGAAATAATGTTGTCAATAGAAATCCCCACCACCAAATTAATAACCCTGTTTCTTCACTTTCTCGTATAGTCCAGAGGTTCTAGAAAACTCCATGCGCATTTGGCAAAGATACTACTGCCACTAATGGATGCTCTACCATAGAAGATACAAACTCCACACACACAAAACATCAAGGCCAAAGCAAATTAAGACTAAACTTTAGAGAGATGATAGAATGAAAGACCAAAACTTTAATAAGAAAGTTGTTCTATGCTGTTTTTTCAGGCCTTATAGGATAAGAAGTCAAAATCATTCAACTACCACACTTCTTCCTTCAAATTTAATAAGGAAGTTACAAGATCTTTCCAGCAGTATAGCATTAAAACTATTTATATTTACCACTTCAAAGAGAGAGAAGCCACAGTCAAGAACAGTGGTAATAAGCTAAGGGCAGCAGATAGAAAGAAATCATCCTGAACCAAGACAAAGCAACATAGGTAGACAGGAAAAGGTCTTACCAAAAAAAAAAAAAAAAAAAAAAAAGTAAAAATAAAATAAAAAGACAGCAATCCTACACCCTCCCCCTTCCCCCAACATCTCTCCCAAGAAATCCCCACCAGAATTAGTGAAACACGATTTTCTGCACATTTGTCCCAGCCATCTACCCTGGACCTACTCTTTGGGTAGAAGGGCAAACAAACCCA